CTTTTTAGGTATAATCATCCTCATATTCTTCTTATGTGCTCTGAGGCATTGTAGAGTGATGACAGGCTATTATGTGACATTGAAACATCAGGCAAAACCCAGAACCATTGCCTGAAAAGTGTTTGCAACTTTAAAGTAACTCGATTCTACTTAATTTTGCTTTGCAACAACATAATTGGACTTCAGGCACTTATTCAATTGTTATAATGATAATACAAAGAAAGCCTGCTTGTTGGGAACAGCAAAGAAGGACCCTAGACACCTAAAGCTACAGGAAATAGCTTGATGACCTAGGGATACGTGACCACCGATACAACTAGTGGTGTGCGATATGAACATCAATAATAGTAATAATAATTTGACAAGTCTCTCTGACAAGTCTCGGTGTATGTCATTACAGCTTTGTCGCATAGTTTACGTGATTCATTACTCATTACAGGAAGAAATTCATCAGAAAGTGTCGCTTATGATTCCATTGACAACCAGAGCTTCAAATTCCGCGTTAGTGTCGCCGTCAACTCCGCGAAACACTGGAGGAACTGAACATGAAATGGAGAAAGATGGTAGGAACAATGACAGTGTGTCCCCTCATCATGATACCAACGTTATTTGGGAAGTCCGTAATCCATCGACACACAGGAGACAATTATTAAAAAGAGGACAGGAACCCCAGAGCCCTGAGATAGCGGCCGATAAAAAGAAATTTAGAGATACCCCTTTTCCTCGGGTACCAATACAGAGCAACGTGTGACGATAGATTATAAAGAATTGGCGTCGAATATTGTTTGATCAATTACGTTTTTTAGTAACTGAACTACCACTACGTTTCCTTTATTCAGTCGGTCAAAATGAAGACTTTTTGGTCAATTTTTTAAAATGATTTTCAAAAACGAACGCACCTAAGGGCTAACTGTGATAAACGACTGTTCTTTCGTAACGTGTAATAATTGTCGTAATTTGTAATAGCTGTCGTAATTTGTAATAATTTGTCGTAATTTGGTAATAATACAAATAATGATGGTAAAAGGAATAATAATGGGAATAAATAAATCCTCAATTTGTCCTTTATAGTCAGGGGAAGTTTCGCGCCATTTTCAGCTACCCAGATGGAGGGGTGGACCACTTTGGGCCAACTCCCCTCCTTCTGTCGGTGTTTGTACCTTATAATTTGCATTTATGTAAACATTCAAACCAGGGGTGTGGGGTTGCAGAGGATGTGATTGTCAAATCCCTACTGAAAAAGACTTAAAAGACATCAAACCTGAATGCATTAGGTCAAGCTATAAGAAAAATTGTTAATTTTTTGGTTTTTCAGTGAATGATTCTTACAAAAATGAGACAATAACTAAAACTGATAAAAATTGGACAGTTGTATACAATGTCTTACTCGCTGATAAGCTTTAAAGTCTTGCTCTCAATCCTTATATTCAGAATTGTATCTTAGTTTTCTTTCTGATAGGCAACAAAGAGTTGTATATAATAACAGCTTCGTCGGAGAATGGAAAGATGTCAATAAGGGTACGACCCAAGGGTCTGTCAGCGGGCCTTATTTATTCAATGTTTTCCTGAATGGTCTTAATATTCAATTACAAGGTGTTGACACAGTTATTAAATATGCCGATGATATTGCAATCCCGTTGTGGAAAGATGGAGTTGATCAGTTACCGGAAGTGGAGGGCAATTTTTGAAGGTTGGTCTGAAAATAACTCCATGTCAAGTAATCCTGGAAAAAGCAAAGAACTCACCATCCGTAAAAAAGGGTTTGTAGAGGAACTGTGTAAAATACATAACATTCTGCAATACAGCGAGCTTAAACTATTAGGTGTGGTATTCCAGTACAATTGTAAATACGCAAGTCACGTGCCTGAAAAGATTGTTAAGGCTAATAAATGCTTGCACGTAATAAGAACTCTTCGGCACGAGCGGCACAATCAGGAGGAGCTGGATTATCTGTTTCAATCAATTGTTATGCCGCAAAAAATGGACCGCAAATGATCCCAACGAAAAATAAGAATGGCTTGGACTCAATGTAGCGGATCATTGTGTTAATTCTATCGTTATTTTAAAAAAAGTGGTTTAGGTAAAATTTTGCTTCTCAAATGAAAAACACATTCAAGACTTTGTTCAAATAAAAGCAACAAGAAATAAACTTTAACACACCAATTTTGAAACATCACTAAATCTGAAAGAAACAAGAAAATAGCCAAACATGGCCGTGTACCACAGAACCTCGCGAAGCTCGGGGGGCATAAAATATCAGGGATGGAAGGGGGAGAGAATTGGAGTAAATTGGGTAGCTTGGGAGGGCGAGTTTCAACACTGGCTTTAATATTGGAAGGTGAGATGTAGTTAATCGCCTTTTGGTGGGAGTAAATTCCAACCCAGTGCTCTTTTATTAAAAAGGATTTTCTGGGATTTTAATGGGGTTGGTGTTGTTAAGGAAGGGTAGCCAATGTTTCATAAGTCCCATCCCATGTCCACCCCATTTGATCCTCCTACA